TTTTCGCATATGGTGCCCGATTACGCAAATCGATTACTAGACTCTTTTTTTAAATTATTAATTATCAATATTGAAAAACAAAGAACTTTAGGCTTAGTCCCTTTTAATAGGTTAATTTAGGTAATAATTAGGTTTTTTTTTGTTTATTAATTAATCTTCAACTTTAGAAATTATCGATTTAGGTCCTTAATCTTTTAGTATTTTAGAACTCGATATTTTAATACTTTGATGTTTTAGTCCCCGAACTTCAATTAGACCTTTAAGATTGACATAATCAAATAGGTTAAATAGAGCCTCCACCTTTAGCTAGATTTCAATATAGTCCTCTTAATTTAGGGAATAATTTGAGTCGGCCCTTGTGTAAATGCTCGAGGGATCATCGCGGTTATTTTATTCAATAATTAGTTTAATAATCAAATAAGGTTAATATTAGAACACACACTTCTAGGTTTCTACCTTTAGGTTCTTTAACTTTCATAATTCGACACTTTAGGATAGACAGAGCCTTAAATTACCATTAGTTAATTAGGAAAAATAAAATTTGTTTAATTGCATTTTTAAAATCCAAGGCAATGTTCATTTATTAGGGAATTAATAGTATATCTCCTGCAAGTATGCTCAAGGGGTGACTATTGTGATTCTCGAAATAGGCCAACATCCTTTTAAAAATAGCATCATGATTTCTAAAATATCGAGACAATATTTTGTTATCAAGCATAATAGTTGATCTCTTGCGTTTATGTTAGGGGGCGAATGCTATCGGCTTTAATAAACGAATACACTTTTCAACTTTGTATTCGTAATGATTTTCAAATTAAATAAAGATCAAACCCAAAATTTTCGATTCTAAATATAGGGTAATCAACTAGGTACCAATTTTTGGGTATTTGTGAGGGTGCTAATCCTTCCCCACGAGTAACCGACTCCCGAACCAGATTTATGGATTTTTGTAGACCTAAAAGTTAGTATTTTGATAAAAATAAAATGTTTTATTAAAATCTCCCGATTTTTATGGTGTCCTAATCGCAACTTAAATGATTCGTGGTGACTCCTCACATTTCAAAATTATTTTCAAAGAAAAACCCCCGAGTCGGTATCAGTCTTTCCCCTCCCGGGTGAGAAATGGTGTCGACATTACGCAAGATAGTGCACTTACTTCTTGGTTACTATCCGTCATTAGTGCTCATCTTCGTCCTCAATTTATGGGAGTTGTGTCTACGACGGCGGTTTGGAAAAAGCTTTTTCAGTTATTTGCCAATCAGTCCACAACTGTTGTAATGAGTTTGCAATACAAACTATAGTCGCTCAAGAAAGGGAGTGATAGCATGGGAAATTACCTTACTTGGGTGAAGGAGGTTTGTGATGCCCTTGCACCACGTGGTAGTCTGATTCCTCACATGGAACACATTGCAAGTGTTATGAAAGAAACACATTCTTTAGATAGTATCTACATGATGTTGGTAGATGTTGAAACCCAACTAGCGGGTTTTGATGCGCAGTTTAACTCCTCGCCCATGAGTGTCAATCTTGCACAAGGGCATACATGGCATAGTTCAGCCTCGTGTCATAGTGTTCATGATCACACTTCGTCTCGCCCCTTGTTAGAGCTGGTGGAAAAGGTCGTGGTCGTGCTAGAGTGCAATGTTAACTCAGTGGGAAGCTTGGTCATTTAGTTGATTGATGTCGGTATTGTTATGGTGAAGATTCCATGTGTGTTAAACCTGATAATCGGGATCGTTATAAACAGGAATCTAAAGTTCTCAACTTACAATCTTCGACAGTGGCAATATGGGTATGAAGGTTGTACAACTAAAAGGTTTTTAGATAACTAGATAGGCTTAAGCCAATGTTGTTACTGTTACATCAGAGCGTTGGGTAGTTGACTCAGGAGCAACTCACCATGTGACTCTAGATGCATCTAAACTTGGTCATCAAACAAACTTTCATGGTCCGGGTAAACTCACTATTGGTAATGGATTTTCTCTTGATATTAATAAAGTTAGAAATTTGGTTTCTTCCTGAGCTCTATTACTAAATGATTTACTACATGCTCCTCGAATAACAAAGAACCTACTTACGATCTCTAAGTTTGATAGGGACAAAAATGTATTTTTTTAGTTCCATGAAAATCAATGTTGTGTTTGAGATGAAGTTACTGGGATTGAGTTGGTGCGAGGAGAAAAGTGTGGTGGTCTTTATTCATTTGCATTGGAATGTAAGCATGTCAACGAATTACATATGATTTCTGCATCGTCTTCTTGTTGTAAAACCGTTGATGAGTTGTGGCACAAGTGTCTTGGTCATCCTGCGTGTAACACCCTAGTCTAATTTGACCTAAAGACCAAAAGATTAAAGTGTCACATAAGACCACCGAAATGGCTAACCCAAAATTTTTCTTTTTTCTAAAATGACTATAAACCATTATATAAAACCATCCATAATAATAAAAAATAAAAATGTAATAAATTTGAGTTTATAAATACGGGGAGCTCCCAAAGATCTAAAATAATAACAATATTGAGGTTAATACAAAAAAAATAAGTTACGACTGAATACAAGGGTCTACAAATAGTACATGCCTTCTAATACAAATCAAGACATACTATGAAACCTCGGTTGATCTAAAATATCTGGTGACAATAACGCTCCACGGACGATCTACTAAGAACCTACACATGAAAATATATTATGAATGCTAAGCTTACAAGCTCAGTGCTACACTAATAATTGTAGTGTACTAAATGCATTCACTAAATCAGCATGCTAGTGTTATCGGTATGAAGACATAAAAATACTGACACAGAGTGTTGAGGTAGGCATCATGGTGTGAAAGAGGGTTTTACATCTCGGGGGACACACCCATCTATCTTTCCTAAATACCCTTGGGTATCTGGGGTAAGATCCGGAACTGCATCAGAAACATACACCTGACCAACTTACTCTGTCATGTCTTGGGGAATCTGCTCCTAGTTGGTAACTGAAGTGCCTTTACACTGAATGGGATATCAAAACAAGAAGATTGTTCTCTGTTAAAGTAAACTCGGGTATCATGGCTGCTTCTTGAGCATCAAACAAGGCTAGTTTTATGTCATCCTAATTGTTTTTGTTTCTAGTTGTTCTAAGTTTATTACTGTTTTCACTTGTAGTTTTATTTCATGGAGTTATAGTATTATTGGAACATATCCCTTTAAACTTTTGTGTTTTTTACCCAAAACTGCACGTGGGTATCGATATTGATCCCTTCAATATCGGTATTGTTCTCTGAGTATCGATACTAACCTCTTGGTATCGATACCAACTGGCTATTCTGAAGCATCGAATCCTGAGTTAGTACTTTGGGTTAACCCAAGTGGACCTTTGAATAAATCCGTTAGCCTTGTAGGAAAGCTTGGACTAATAAAGCTTTGGTTTGGGCTTAACTTGGGCTCAATGGATGATAAAAATGGTGTTTTTAAATTATGAATAAAATTTGAAGGACTAAAAGTGAGGTTTACCCATTTTTGTTAGGAAAGGCTGAAAATCCTTTAACTTCCATGAGGTCACACGTTAGAACCTCTTTTCCCCACTCTTGTCTTTTTCTCCTTCTTTCAAACTCCATCTCTCCCCCTAAAGCTTGAGCAAAGGTAGAAACTTGTTGGGCTATAATTCTAGTTCAGTTTAGCTAAGGTAAGAAATTAAATCATCTCTTCTAGAGCTTCGATTTAAGCTCTCAAACAAAAGTTTTGGTTGTGGAAACCATTCATGGATTTTAGTGGGGGTTTGGGACCTTAAGTTCGTTTAGCTAGTTTTTTGAAGATTTGAGTCTTAGGAAATCCTTAAAGCATGTTTCTAAGCTCACAAACTCGTTTGTAACCCTTGTGTTTGATTCTTTGTGTAGTAAGAGATGTTGGAGAAAGCTCCAATAACAAATGAAAAGAAAATTTGTCACTTGGTTGAGCTTTGGAAACTTCTAGTAGTTTAGGGCATCAAGGTAACTCACTCATAACTCATCTCTACTACAATGTAGATCACTAGGTGTGTTTGTTAGCTTGCATGAGTCATGAAGCATGTTCATGGTAGATTTCAGTCTTTAGTATTTCTCAACATGTTTATGGACTTTTTATGACCCCTATTATCAGACATAACACTTTATTAACATTTGTGAACCTCAATAGGACTCATGGGAGTGTTGGAGAGGCATTTTTGTGCCCAAAATAGGGTATTTTTGGGGACAAGTATTGATACTAGAATAATAGTACCGATATTTTTTTAGATGCTAAAAACAAAGGGGTTCCGGGGTTAGAAGTATCGGTACTCATGCAATGGGTACGATACTGTAGGTGAGGTATCGATACTCGTAGGGTGGTATCGATACCAAGATCACTCATGTAATGGGTTTCATATGCTAAAAGCATTTGAATTGACATTATTTTATAACTTTTCAAGTGATCCCTCCCTCCTTGGCATAATCTTTCAAAGCATCTGTATTAGCAAGACTCATGATTCGCAGAGTACAATAAGCATAAAAGACATAATCTATCATACTTGTATGTTTATATGTACTCGATCCATTGAATCAAAATCATTGTTTACTAATAAGTTTGACGTGGAGATCCATTAGTTGATCGAATTATTAAATACATTCATTGTATCTTATTAGTTGATCGAGTTATTAAATACATAAAAGATGTGTGGTTTCAAATCTCGACATTTGTTTTAGAATGTAATATTTCTTTATTTATTAAAAACACAAGTTTGGCGTGGACTGTGATCCCTACATCTGCATAGGCCCAGGACAAAGTTTTGGCCCAATGACATCCACCATACGAGATTGGCCTTAGAGGTGTAATCTTAAGTTTCAAAATAGGTATGTTTCCTTGCCTGTTTTCCCTTAGATTCTTGTCCTTTTATTACAGAACACTTGTTTATGAGCTGATTTCCTGTTGAAAAATATGTTTTCCACTTCATGGTTGATTCAGATGGTAAAAATCCTAATAGGAGTTTCACATCAAACATTTACTTGGATGCTTTTTACATGCTTCACAATCCAGAAATAACATATGTATGTATATATCACCACGATCCGACTTCACTAGTTTATAAAACTTCGAAGTTAGTTCTCAAGCATATGATTTGTAGGAAGTTGGGATCCCAGTTTCATCGACCTATGCGCCGGTGAATCAAAGAGTATTAGGACATATCATTCACAGCTATTGCAGGGCTCATCTTTTTCTTCCTCTCATTAAAACTACTGCGTGAAACAAAGCTCGGAAGGCAACACTGCATGGACTTAAATGGCTGCTCCTTAAACATGGGGTTATCTCCATTAGCAGTCCTTTCACTACTGCAAAGAGAGGTTGCACTAGACGCATAAGGGGTTCCTTGGTTACTTGGGGTGTTCAGCTCGTTTGCATCTCCGTTTTCTCTAACGCTTTCTCGAAACAGTTCAAGGAGTTTCTTTTTCTTTCCAGCTGGCGATGTTTCAGAAACCGACAAAGGTGATCCATCCACAGTAGCCTTGTTAACTCGAGGAGTTCCCACGGAGAAGCTATGATGAACTGGGGTATTACCACGAGATGGAGTAAAATCTGCACAGGAATGTACAACATTTGGATGAGACAACAATATAGACTCGAAAAAATCGTGAACTTAACTCGGAAACGATCAGCAATGGAGGTAGCACAATCATTTTACAGCAGTCAGAAGGAAACACCAGAGAAGAAATTGACAGATAAGCCGATGATATATGCAGGCTAGAAGACTTAAGTCAAACAGTTCTAATAATCTTACCACCATTAACACTGAAGAAATCATCCTCACAATCCGAATCTAGATATGCCCGGGAATCAAAAAAGGTTTCTTCTTTACTACCTGCGGAATGAAAAATCGATTCAGCTTAAGGTATTTAGATAGCTGAAATACATTGGCATGCTTATCATAGAGTACATATAGGTACTGCATCAGCATCCAAGTCATCAGTTTGATGTTAAAGGACACAAAATAAAAGGGTTTATTTCCGAAGAAAGTGCTAACACACAACATAACTCAATGCCAATTGTACGGAGCTATTTACGAAATCTATAAACTCACAAAGGATTGACCTATCATTCAGAATCATCAAAGAGGCAACCTTTTGCATTACCCCATTTGAGGTTGACATGTATATGATGTACCTAAGTGTACCGTATCGATACATAAATTCTACATGTAGTAAGGACCACAGCATAATCCACAAGTTATCTCCATTAATGTCAAATTATGACATTTAAAAGACAACACACTCTTGAAATTGTTAGCATCTTCCTACTATTTAAGAGTGGTCCATCCATCACCAAGGGGCCCCCACCAAAGATGCATAGTTTTTTTACATAGATACAAACAGGAAGAAGATTGCTAATTCCTAACTTGTCTATATATTCAATCAGGTTCAAGGTAGGCTCTCAACTTCAAATTAAATACTGCCATATAAGGAAAAGATTAGCTTCATCTTGTTTCCCACTAGTTTTCACGATTAATGATATCATTTTCGTGTAAACTAACAAATTCACAATACACCTAGCAATTCCAAAACAGCCAATGACTTTTCTTGCAAGACAAGGGGAAATAACCAAAAGATGGCTACTTTTTTTTTTGAACAATTTTCATCATCAATTGGAAGTAACCATCTAATTAAACAGTGTCATTTTAATAAAAAGTAAAAGCAATTCCAAAGGCAATTGCAGTGACATTTGTGATGAAGCAAAAGGCCTCAGTTTGGCCAATTGGTTGGGACATGAGCCTCCTATGCTGTAATAAATCTCTTTATAAAGACTCTGAATTTGACAAAAATATCACCATGTTCATCTCATAATAATGAATCAACAGAGCCAAATACACATTTCAGATCTCACGTCATAAAAATAAAACATCATCCAAAAGCAGAACCAAATAGATTGTCTTTACTCTTTACCCTCATAACCAAGCAAAGGAATTCCAACATGTTTGTTTATTTCACCAAAAAACCAAAAGACGCGGATGAAACGAAAAAGGAAGGAAATTGACCAAAATCCTTGAAAGAATAGGGAGATTGAGATTTGAGAGCAAAGTGACCATTGGCAGCTGGCTTCTCCTTAACAGGTGAAGGTGGGATGACGATGTTATCTGTTTTAGACTCAAAAGAAAGTCCAAGCATCATGGCTGACTCTTTAGGGCTCTTTTGCAATGAAACACATGAACCCATCTCTCTTTTCTTTTACTTTTCTCACTTTATATACAAATTTCTGGAGCCGTGGCATCAGCCAATCTCAGAGCAATCAAAAAGGATGAAACTTTCTACTTTTTTTCCCCTTTCTCAGCAACCCATAAGGCAGAAGCAATAGGAAAAGGAAGAGAGATGGAGGAGAGAGCGATCTCTTGGCGTTATGTTAAAGGAGTTGAATAAAAGAAAGGCTGCTTTGAGTTAGATAGAGAGAAGGAGAGAGAGGGATTGGGCTTGAATTGAAAGGGAAGTTAGCACTGCCATTGCCAATTAGTAAGCATTGCATGTTTTGCAGTTTTATTTTCTTAAAATATTACTCGAGTATAAAATGATCATTAAAATCTATTGAATTATATTATTATGGGTTGTGCTAACAAATGCTTTATAATATCATTAAAAATTCATTAGTATATTGTTTTGGCAACGTTAATTCCGTGTCAATACCTATATCTAGTAGTTAAACAAACCCTTATTATTTTATTTTATTAATTTTTGAGCTAATTAAATACCAAGCTTTGAGCTTCAAAGCTAGTATACCATAGAATATGATACCTAAAGTATAATATAATAAAATATATGGACTGTTCATGTATTCAAATCATATGTCAATCATTATTCTTTTCTCAACTTCGCTTTATCTAAAGTATGATTAATTCTCTCCAAAAAGAAAATGATTAATTCATTGCAACAAATGTACATGTGATCTCATTCTATACATGTTTCGGAAAAGAATAAATATAAAAATAATCATTAAATAATATTAAAATGATTTTTTACCATTAATTTTTTTAAGTTATAAATGATCATTAAATAAATTATTATAATATAATCACCTCACGTTATAAAATAATGATAATCATTTTTATAAGTTTAATGATTTTTTTGTAATAGTTTGATAAGTTTAATGACTATTTTGTAATAGTTTGATAAATTTTAGTACCTATTTTATAACAATTTGATAAATTTAATAATCATTTTATAATTTATGAAACACTTTAATAGTTAAAAATATCGTTTCAACATAATTTAGTGACTATTTATATGATATACCCTTAAAAAATACACATTTTATTCCCTGGTCTTCGTTTTGGACATGGATGAATGCAAGAATGTGTTTAGGAGCTAAAGTTGAATTATTAAATTTTAAAAGAATTAGAGTGTAATTTTATCATTATATTAAATTAAATTTTTAAATTTTTGAAGGGACTATAGAGCAATTATACCATTTTAATGGGATCATAAAATGATGACAATATCATAAGAGTATTTTCTTTTGGAATTATTTGTTGGATTTTTAGGTTTGAGTTTGGTATAAGTCTTTATATGTAATAAAAATGATGTTATATTGGTATTAAATGGAATTTGATAACATTAAAAGATTTGGCGCAACCTCTTTTCACATTATACATAGTTCTGCCATTGGTTTTATCTATTTTGGATATAGATAAATATATATCCTTTTCAAAATAAATTATTTATATTTATAAATATAGATGGAACGAGAAAATGTTTGAGTGTGATTATATTTCTGAAAATCTTAAATATTTGTTATATTTTTCTATTGATAAATATAATTATCTAATAACCTTTTAAATTCATACTCAAATATGAAACTTTACCTTCTTTCCTATTCAAGAATTTAGGAGTAATAGTTGCTTGGAAAATGGGGGGAAAATCTTAACAAATGACGAAAGCAAAGCAAACATGTGAATGGCTTAGCTTTTAGAGTGGCCTACACATTAATAATTCCATAAAAAGTCATAACATAATTAATTTAGCCCTCTACATTATGCATCCCAAAGGAAAATGACAAAAGGTTGATAATTATGGATGATGAGAATAGTCATTTACAAGAAGTATATTGTAATTTTTAGCCACTAAACCTGACAATTTGATTCATTTTTGTTTTTTATTGTTTATTTACATTATCTTTAAATTTAGTAATTTTTTTATCTTGATACTTCAAATTTTTTTCATTCTTTTGATGTCGCAATACTATTGTATTATGTCGTAACCCCAATATATACATAAATTAAAATTTAAAATGATATTGTAGTAAATTTAAGAGTGTCATGTTAAAAAAAATAAAAATTTAAGTTGAAGGGTCATTTTTCAAAAAACGTCAAATTTTGGGATTAATGTGATCAAAATATGTTTGTATAGAAAAAACTACCAAGTTTTAAACAACAAAAAGTTATATTCACCCATAAAAACAAAAACAAGAAAAAGGTTTAACGTAAAAATAAGAGTCTTAAATATATTCAAAGTTAACTTTACGTGTCGAATTTTTCGTTAAAAATAGATGTTTAGTGTTTCTAACGTTATACTTTTAGGTGCTTAGACGGTAATGCCGTTAAATTTGACCATGAAGATCATGGGTCACGTTTATAAAATTTTAACTTTTTTATTTTAATTAAAAAATTAAAATTTACTTTTTAAAAAACACAATATTTTATAAAATTATAAAAAAATCTTTTAAAATTCTAATTTTTAATCCATTAGTATCGTCGTTCCCCATCAACGCGATCAATCGCCCAAAAACCCAACGTTGTTCGACTAGAAACCACCCAATGGTCGAAACCCCTTATTTTCGCAACCGATCGAACACACAATGGTTGTGTAAATACAATATTTTGCGAACAATTGAAAGGGATTCTACACATAGTGATCATCAATTTTTTGCTGCAATCACCACGTGAAGCATGGGGGTTTAGATTGTCGCACCCATCAGGGTTTTGGCTTATTGGCGATGTGGGTTGTAGCCGACGGTAGTAAGAGATTAAAATTAAAAAAAATTGGGTTTTGGTGATTTATTTATAATTTCAAAAAAATAATAGGTTTCTTAAAATATATTTTAATTTGGTTCATTTTAAAAATAAAAATTTATATGATAAAACGTGTTACATAACGGTATTTTTAATGGTCGCTACAACCTAAGTATTTAAAATTATAACGTCGGAAATATTAGACACTTAAAAGTGTATTACAGAAAACTTTAGGCGCACAAAAAAATTCTTTAAACATCTAAAGTTAACTTTAAATATAATTTGGACACGTATTTTTGCTTAAATCTAAAAAGAATAATAAAAAAGAAAGCTAATATGTCTAAACATTTACTATGGGATCGTACAAAGTATAATTCTGTAATAAAAGTTGAAAACAAATAAAAATTCTAAATAAATATTAATTACAAATAAAAAGTTTCTATGGAACGTATGTGTCAGCCTATCAGGTATAAGCTTGATTGACAATCAATTTTTATTGGGACATGTAATAACATCTTCTAATCACCAATTTTCACCTAGTAAAAATTAAAAGTCAAAGTAGCCTTATCCTGATCTACCAAAATTCGGGTGAAGTTCACCATCCCCTGTCATGCCTGCTGCCACCACCAACCGAGCATGCTACCACCAGTCACTGTTGCTGCTCATCCCCTACCAACTGCACCAACCGACTGCACCAACAATAAATAAATATATCAGTTTTTTATTTGTTTTACATGTAAAAAATAGGTTTATATAAAGCCCAAAAATCAAACAATTGGAGGAGAGATTCAAGGAAATTAAAAAATAGTCAAGCATATTTGAGGTTCTCTCTTTCTTTTTTTTCTTTCTTTTTTGTTCTATTTTATTTCCTAAAAACAACACACAAATAACAGAGGGATGAGGGTAGAATTATACCTTTGAGTGAGAGAGTCTAACCGAAGGGGGAGTCGTTTCATCTCGAACGATGGCTGGAGCGTGCGAGGAGACGAAAAGTCAAAACCTTTTTTGGGGGGTGGGACGTTTGGGGTAGTTTTAGCCTAGGGTATAGGTCTAGGGTTGTAGATCTGAGCTCGGGGGTTGTTTTGGGTTGATTTTAGGTTTTTCGGGGAAAGAGTTTTAAAAAAAAAATTGTTTTTTTAAGGCTCAGTTGAAATGAATGAAAAACAAAAAAAAATAGCATTTATAGAAAAAATTAAGGGGTTATTTGCGTTTAGCCCTGGTATTTTGCCGTGCTTTTGCAGTTTGGTCCCTGATGGACCAAAATTACTATTTCACCTTTTTGTTGTACATGCTTTATATTTTTAGTTTATTCACTGTTTTAATACTCCTAAATTTAGCTTGTTTTTGCATTTTGGTCACTAAAGGGAATGATTTTGTGATTTACCCATTTTAATTTTTATAAATATTCGTGGACTGATTTTGAAATTTACCCATTTTTAATTTAACCGTGTTTAGGCTTAAACAAACTGGAAAATTATCATTAGGTTCCTTTAATTCCAGTGCGTTTTTACATTTTAATCCCCAAATCTATTTTTTATTTTATTTCGAATTAGCCTTTAAATTTTAATTTATTTTAATTTAGCCACTGTTTATTTCTTATTTAGCTACTAACTTTTATTTTCTTGCATTTTAGTCATTGTTATTTTATATTTATGCAATTAGGTCCTTTAATTTATGTTTATTTTAAGTTTTTATTTATTTTTTATTATTGTACTTTTTTTATTTTATTTTAATTAAGTTTGTTGTTAATTGTTTTGTTTCATGGTTTATTTTCTTAGATTTAATTCTAAATTAGATTAACATTCAAATCAAACTTAGCAATTAGGACGACACTCGAGTTTAATTAGGCAGTAATTCGAGTCGAGGTTTCACATAAGATACTCGATTACTTGAATCGATTGCTCGATTTTAAAATTTATCAATAATTAATATTTTCTAAAAATACTTTAGGTTTAATAATTTAGATAATAATTAGGTTTTTAGTTTATACTTAGTCCTCAACTTTAGAAGTTAGCAATTTAGGTCCTAAGCTTTTAGATCTTTTAGAAATCGGTATTTTTAGATCTTAACCTTTTAGTCCCCAAATTTTGATTAGAGCCTTAATATCAACATAATTAAATAGGTTAAATAGAGCATCCACTTTTAGTTAGATTTCAAATTAGTCTTTTAATTTATGAATTATTCGAGTTGGCCCTCGCCTAAATGCTCGAGGGACCATCTCGGTTATTCGATTCAATAAATGGTTTAAAAAATCAAATAGGGTTAATAGTAGAACCTAGACTTCTAGGTTTATGTCTCTAGGTTCTTGAATTTTCATAATTCGACACTTTAAGCTATAAAAACCTTAATTTACCCTTAGTTTAATTAAGATGAATAAAAATTTGTTTGATTGAATTTTATTTTCAAACCTAAGGCAATGTTCACTTATTAGGAAATTAATAGTA